TTTTATTTTTTCATAAATTTTTATTAATTTTTTTATTTTTCGGGGTAACAATAAACATATACCAAACCGAAAACCGTGACCACGAAACCGTGAACCGAACCGTGGATTTCGTGAACCGTTCCACCACTAATATATATATATATATATATATATATATATAGCTAGCTATTTATCTTTATTCATTTATTTATGTTATTAAAATGTATTCAAACAACAGACTTTAAGGAGAGTACTGAGACAGTGATGTCTTTGATCTTAAGTTATAAGTTTATTAATAGAAATCAATTTATGGTGAACAGTAGCACACATTTACAAATGAAGTCGCAATAGAAAGCATTCAGGTAACTGGGCATAGCGAATGACATAACATTATACACAGGTACAGTAATCTCATTAAAAAAAATTAAGTCATAACAGTCAGACTATCTACACTCTGAATAAATAAAACTTCGATATGGATTTTAAACATATACAACAATCAAGCAAGATCACAAACTGCATGCTTTTTTGTTAATGAAAATATAAATCATTCTGTGTAGAACAGAAAAAAAGGCATGATTACGATAAATTACAAGTTTGTTATTTTTTTTTACCCTTATGCAGTACCTGCTTCAAGGATAAAAAACTAAAATCTATTAGGGTCCAAATCTATTCTCGGGTTTTACAAAAAGCTACTGGAAATAAACTGATTTAAACATTTCTAGATTGTTGATTTTTAACTCTAAATGACCTAATAAAATTAGCTTAATTATTCATTGATTTAATGACTGTCTGTGTAACTCTGAGCAAAGCTATGTCTTTGTTTTTTCTTTAACTTTGAAAAGTCTGAGTCGCAGTGGGGGTTAAGCGCACCACCCAAGTACAGATGCCCCGGACCTCGACCCAGCTATCGCAGGTTTACGTGCCAGCCTGTTTACCTTTGCTACATGTCTTCCCTACATTTCTGATCCCATTATCTTTTTGCCCATTTTTAAACAGAAAATAAAAAAAAATTTTCTCCAGCTTTCACACGAATACGACGAATTTGCAGCACAGGTTTGATGGCTTTAATGTTTCGATTCAGATAGTAGTGGTTATACAATGCTTTCTAACTGTACTATTAATTCCATTAATTTAAACTGTTCAAATTACATGAAGGTTTCGTGTTGCAGATATATCTATATACTGATTGTTTTGTTTACTTTTAATAAGTTCAGAACTATGTCTTATCTTTGTACTGACCAAGGATGATTCTCATCATTTCACAGGATTATACTTAATTAAAGATTCTAAAAAATATTACATTATTGATATAAGTA